TTTGATTAAGATAATGTTCCAGTTGCGTTCGCCCAAATAAAAGTAAAAAGTGATGAGGTCAAGAACCATGTATTTTTAAAATCATATATATATATATATATATATATATATATATATATATATATATATATATATATATATATATATGTATATATATATATGTGTATATGTATTTATGTATGAAGTAGAGTTCATGTTTGTTGGCCATGGCATATGATGGGACAGTGTAGTCAACTCTATGCGAACTTTACTTCCCCTAGTATGAGTCAGATACCTATCAGTGGCGGAACTAGAAAAAAAGGGCCACCCCGCAAAAAAATTCTTTAGGCCCCCCCCCATATATATATATATATATATATATATATATATATATATATATATATATATATATATATATATATATATATATATATATATATATATATATATCAGGGGCGTAGCGAGGGGGGGGGGGGGCGAGGGGTGCGGACCGCACCGGGTGACACCATTTAGGGGGGTGACACCAAGGCAAAAAATAGCAAAATATATAGAGAAAAACTCGAGGGGGGGGGGGGGTGCAAATCGAAAGTTTGAGGGGGGGTGCAAATCGAAAATTTGAAAGTTTGTCCCTGGGAAGGGTCTCTATGCCTCTGGGGGGGGGGGGGTGACACCCGACCTCGCTACGCCACTGATATATATATATATATATATATATATATATATATATATATATATATATATATATATATATATATATATATATATATATCAGTGGCCTGTTGCTGGCCTGTTCGGGTTTTGAAAGAAAATGTTTTTTTTTCAATTATAAAAAATTACAACATCATGTCATGTGTGTAAGTCTGTAAGTGCATCAGTGTGTTTTGTGAAAATGAGTTTTGTTAAGTGTGCTATAAGACCTACTAAGTTCAAGTCGGTCAAAAGAATATAAACCATGAAAGCTTTGTATAAGTAATGGTGTTTCACATTATGTTTATTTATTATTTTTATTTATTTAAATTATTCATTTTAAATACATTGCCTGTTTAAACATAGTTATTCTTTAGTACGTACTTTAAAAAAATAATAATTAAGAGAAGTAATTGCTTTTTAATTTGTTTAGTACAAATCTATAAACGGAGCTTATGAACACCCCTATTTGTATATTTACAAAAGGGAAATAAGTCATGGAAGCCTGCTTATCTTTGATAAGTTTGATTGTAGGAGAAAGGAGACTCGGCTTTCACAGTGGTTTAAAAACAAATGTAAAAACAAAATACACGAGCGTGGGGTGGTGTCTATAGAATAAAGATAATCCAATTGCAGCAACGGTAATCTTTTTTACAAAACAACCATGAAGTCAAAAATGCAAGTAAATTATTTTTTTTTAACCATAAAAAAATGTATGGTCGGCTGTGGGCCCCTCAATGGCGTGGGCCCCCCCGCATTGCGGGGTCTGGCGGCACTGTAGTTCCGCCCCTGATACCTATCAGAGCTGGGTGAACTTAAGGACATGAGAACTTGTGCGAGTTGATCTGCTATTTGATCACAAACGCACACACACACACACACACACACACACATATATATATATATATATATATATATATATATATATATATATATATATATATATATATATATACATTTTTCAATACTATTCGACTTGATTGACCACTGTTTTAGAAATTAACCTCTGTCTCGACCCTAGATTTACCTTAACCTACGATGACCTAACCTGACCTATCTATCGGCCAAGTAAACAACCACAAACACTGAAGACCTGGCGAGACCTTATACGATAGTATATACAAATATACCCCACCCCTTCTCTTTACTAAACCCTGCACCTCCCACACCAAGGTCAGGCTGTCAAAAATTAACTTCATCACCAATGACGTGTCGTCAGGATCACCTTGACTGACGACGGATGACGGAGACAGACGCCAGAGTACACATACCGCCCGCGCGCATTAATTAAGGGGCGACAACAAAAAGATGAAAGTACGTACTTAGTTACCTTTCTTCCTTCACCCACCACATCAAACCTCGCTCTGAGTTGACACACTTTACGCCGCCCTGGCACGTGATATGCTCATCCAATCAAAAACAGATTCGAGTTTCCCGTTATATAATAATTTTTTACATAAGAATATGTTGGTAAATTTACTTAGCTTACTCATTCTACGTACACGAAACCCAGAGGTGTAGCGAGGGGGGGGGGGGGGGGTGGCAGCGGGTGGTGCGGACCGCGCCGGGATGAAACCATTTAGGGGGGTGACACCAAGGCAAAAAAATAGCAAAATAAATAGAGAAAAACTTGAGGGGGGGGGATGCAAATCGGTAATTTGAGGGGGGGGGGGAAATCGAAAACTTTAGGGGAGGGGGGTGTAAATCGAAAATTTGAAAGTTTGTCCCCGGGAAGGGTCGCTACGCCTCTGGGGTTGGGGGGGGGGGGGGGGGGTGACACCATTAAGTACCGCACCGGGTGACACCCGACCTCGCTACGCCACTGACGAAACCTAGTCTACGTTACTTTGTTGTTAAGCACTTATATTAAAAAAACGTGACTGTTTCTTAAACTGTGTTCATCTTATCAGAGCAATTTGATCTTAAGGTCTGGAGTTGTGGTGGTGGTGGTGGGGGGGGGGGGGGTGAGTCAAGTGTCACAAGTGGAAAAAGTATGAATTGATTGTATGGTGTAAAAACTACAAAATAGAACCGTAAGCATGACGTATTCTAGTATATTATGACTACTAACTATACTAAGGGGGGGGGGGGGGAGTCACGTCACAAGTGGAAAAAGTATGCATTGATTGCATGGTGTAAAAACTACACAATAGAACCGTGTAGCATGACGTATTCGAGTATACTTTGACTACTAACGATACCCTAATCCTAACCTCAAACAATTCAATTTTAGAGAATTGTGTTCAAACTGACGCCCCCTTTATCAGAAGAGTATGCTGATAATAGTGAAGTACTCGCACATAGCTGAAAACCTTGTTGTTCCCAAGTTCGTGTAAAACCATTGTTTATTCCAGACTTTTTTCTCCGGGGGAGGGGGCACTTGAATTTTCGTGGAGGCGCACTCAAATATCCGGGGGGAAGAGGTGCCTGGAAGAAACTCTGTGCAAGACGATAGGTTAGGTTCCTTTGTCGAACTTAACGGCCAATGGAGTAAGTGAAGTCGAGTTCATCTATTTCTGCAGGGATTGTGTGGTTATCACTATGCCCAGCCGCATTTACTTTCCCTAACCTGAGTTAGGTACTCATTAGAGCTGGGTGGACTCATGGGCGTTCTACTGAATTTCGGGTTAGCAGTCTAGAGCTCTACCTTTAGGCCACTCCTACTGTGTTGTATATATGTATATATGTTACATTACTGCTGGAGTTATAGTCTCGATTGTGACTAAGGTCAAGGTTAGGACAAGTATTAGAGTCCTTGTAACAGGTTACAAGTGTCTGATGGTAAAAGAGCCTTTTATCCCTTTGTGTGAATTGTAGAGGAGTTACGAATCCTTACATGTTTACAATTTTAGACATACATATATATATATTAAAAATTTCATTTAAATGCGAAATGAGAAAGTGGTTCCTTAGAAACTAAAACAAAGTGGTCATCTCACAAAATGCTCAAATTTGTGTCTATTTCTCCTGGATAACTAATTATTATTCTAACTTTGATTTAAGAGTAACTTTACACATTAAAAAAAAAAAAGTAACATTTTTTTTTTCTTTTAAAAAATACTTGAAATTTTTTTTTAACATTGACGTAATGTGTCTAGAACCTGAGGCCTACTATTAATTTTATGAAAACGTATACATTCTTAAGTTAATAGAGAACACGACTAGACATTCGATTTTTTTCAAATTTTTACGACACTATAAATTCAACAAATTGGCTATTTGAGCTTAAAACAGCTGTTGAAAGCAACAAATGTTCAAAAAAATGAAACCCCTTACAAATCACTTGTCTCGTGAACCTGGATATCGATCGGTGATTGATTTAATGTTGAACATATTGGTTGGATGTTGGATACAACACAGCTCATACACGGGATGACATCTTTGATATGGTCGGTGGATGACATATGATGTTATATGTGATGTTTTATGAGGAGGCTTATTCGACAATATAAGGCGTGACGTATGTAATAGCATACATAATGGTAGATAAGGAGGTATAAGCGTTGACATGCAATGGAAGATGGGATGGCATTTGATATGACACGGAGAAACATATGAGTCTCATATGAGGACATATTTATGACATCTGAGTTGACATTTAGGACATGTGTGATATTGTACGGGTTATGGGACGACATTTGGAATGACAGTAGTATGTTAGCTTATGTGGTTAAAATTTCATGGTTGATGACATATTTCTGACATATGGTATGACATGTAGAATAACGGTAGTATAGGAACTTATGTGGTGACATGTGAATGTCATATTGGATGACATATTTCTGACATGAGATGAAATGTGGAAACATGGTAGAATAGTAGCTTATGTGGTTAAAATGTCAATGTCATACTTGATGACATATTTCTAAAATATGAGATGACATGTGGAATGACGGTAGTTAGAGAAGCTTATGTGACGGCATGTGGATGTCATATTAAATGACATATATCTGACATATGGGATAACAATTTAAACCATCTCTATTTCATATGGTATGATATGTTGACGAGTGAGATGACATTTGTTGAATGATTGATACATATATGTCATATGGGATTGCTTATTGAACTATATGCAGGATGACATTTAGAATGACATTGAGATAGTATGGAAAATAATATTACATGTAATGTCATGTGGGACTACATTTACTATAACATGGGATCGAAAACGAGATCACATACAAAATGACATACGATTATAGCTCTAGCTGTAGTGTATCACCTTGCTACTTACACCACCAGCGAATCGTCAACTTGCCCCGTTTTAAAGTGCACAGCTTTCTCGACCCGCCCTCTTTTTTCTGTCTATAAAATGTGCCCTATCCACCCGTGACGCAGACTTGCAGTGGTTGTGCAGTCGCTGCACTTGTTCCAGAACTTTCAATCTAGACGCGTTTACGGACATACGAAATGGCGATGAAACTTGTGAGTAGAGTTACTTCCCCTTAATGTTTTTATTTTTATCTAGATCGCACATATCAGTTTATTTTACGACATTTGAATTACTCGTTTAAAATGTGACCAAGCGTGTTGACAATCCATCAAGCATCTTTTCTAATCTAGCTATCAACGTTCACTGTTTATATATATATATATATATATATATATATATATATATATATATATATATATATATATATATATATATATATATATATATATATATGTATGTATATATATATATATATATATATATATATATATATATATATATATATATATATATATATATATATATATATATGGAAAAACTGCCTTTAGCTTATCCATAATTGTAAATCACATTCCAGCTAATTGAACTATATATTTTCATGCTGCTAGATATACGTTACCAAATTAAATTAATATATACAAGCAGCTACACTGTACAGCTACATTATCCGTATTACACGCTACACACCTACACATCTGATTTAGGGTTCATGCAAACACACAATGTATGTAAACAAAGCCACGACTGCAGTTTATTTTTCTGTATGTGTGTTGGTGATATTTGACACCTGTATAGGTTAAGATGGCATATGCAAATGTATGCTAATGAAAAATAAACACAAAAGCATATTCGCAGTACGTGGGATTCTTACATAGAGCAGTGAATGGTAACATACGGATTTTTTAATTGGAGACGGTTCTTTTAATTTAAAGTTTGGCTTTTAAGTTGAAAATTTGGTTCTTTTACTAAAAAATTCTGCTTTTAAGATCTAGATTTGAAGCTTGGCTTTTTAAATTGAAGATTCGGTCCTTTTAATTTAAAGTTCAGCTCAGTTTTTTTTTAAATTGAAGGGGGTGAACTGAAAAATTAACTCGTATCTATATCCGATATAGGGCTGGTAAGTAGGTCACCAACCAGTTCTACGGCTCGTGCAGGTTTTATTGAGCCGTAGAACTGGTTGGTGACCTACTTACCAGACCTATATTCATTATGAAAACAAACTCACTCTATGTAGATCTTTTTGAGATCACAGTCCTTACGGTCTTCTGAAATTATAGATGCATAAACCTTTTGATCAAATAGATAAATGTGTGTATACAAATGTATACAAGAATTACACAATCCAAATATACTGGAAGAAAAAAAAGCTAATCGAAAATTGGTGATATGATTTTAAACGTCTGAGTTAAAAACTAGTCAGAACATAAAACACATGATTATAATAACTAGATCTAGAGATTATATATATATATATATATATATATATATATATATATATATATATATATATATATATATATATATATATATATTCTAGGTGGAGTAATTAGTACCATGGTTAGTCTTTAGGCGTCGTCCATAAATGACGTCACACTCGTAGGGGGGAGGGGGGGGGTCCGTAATTTTGTGACGGTGTGTGACGGAGGAAGGAGGTAAAATCGTCAAAAAAGCATGACGTCATTTATGGATGACCACTTAACTATAATCAGATTGTAATTGGTGAAGTGAATGAAACAAAGCGAATTTATTCATCCTCTACAGCATAGCACAGTTAAAATAAGAGTCTTACATTATATCGTCTAGTAACAAAACAGAACGTGTGACTTACCGATCACTTTTACGATCGATCAAATGAAAACTGTGTCATAGCAATATTAACAGAAAGTGATATTTCAACGCCAAGGGTAGACAAAGGTACGGAATATATTCCAAGAAGAGGCAGAGCAGTCAAACCCAAAGGGATCCGAACCTTCCTATCCACGCGGAACCAAGTGTAACCACTTTTGCCAATCAGCCCTACAAAAATAAGGCTTTCAAGGCAGACCACTATCATAGCCTGTGCATAGAAGACGCGGGCAGGCGTGACCGCTGAATCCGATTATTCTGACCGCTAGCCTCAAAAACACAATATATATATATATATATATATATATATATATATATATATATATATATATATATATATATATATATTGTATTACATTTTTTATTATTTTTTATTAAAGTGACATAATAATGTATGAGAGACTAGTTAATAGTTTAGCACACACAGCCGACTAGTATATCTAAACTCGTTGTAAAAGCTACTTCCCTTTGGACCTTTTAGAACATCCAAGGGAAACAACTTTTAAAGTCCAACTTTTTTCTTAAATATCATTTATAATACTAATATGATTGGAAGTAATAAACTTAAATTATTAATTTTTGTTTTGTTTAAGTATATTTGCAAGAGAATTGGTTGTATTTTGAATATATTTGTTAATAAAAATATATATTTGACAGTAATTTATATAGAAGGACTTTATCGATATTAAATACATAACTTTTTAAAAAATGAATCTTCAAACAATCATCGATACCTTCCCATACCTTCTTAGTATGTTTAACAATATATTAATCTTTTTCTCTAATCCCAAACCCACCTCAATTCAACCCACGCTACAGAACAGAATACCCTTGAACAGGGGTCGGCAACCTTTTGAGACGAGTATATTTGTTTAGTATATATAATCCTAAACAAATATCATACTATATATATATATATATATATATATATATATATATATATATATATATATATATATATATATATATATATATATATATATATATATATATAATTTTAAATAAATAGCTTTGAATATATGAGATAATCTCATTTGAATTTGTGTTGAGAGGATCTACTATGTAAGTCAGAGGACTTGCATTTGTTTTGAATTGCTCAAATCTCTCAATGAAAACAACCTTCTTTTGGTTTATATTAATGCTGAAGTGATTAAATAGAAGCATTGGTTTCTTAACGATTTTTTTTCAGATTTTTCGTAATTAAGTAATTTACCGCTCATCATGTATTCAACAAAAAAAAATAATTCTGGAAACAAACCATCTTTTCAAGCAAGACTTAGGCTGGGTTTTAATTTCAGTTTAACACTTAGCTGGTTTAGTTTTTTTGTGAAGTTGAATATTTCAATTCGGAATGGACAATGTAATAGGAAGTGCACTGAGATAGGGAGTAACTAAATATTCTAATAGAATAGTGAATGTTTATTGTTTATATCTATTGTTATAGTTATACCGTTTATTACCGAGTGTTGCAGACTAATATTTTTATGAGTTTTGGAAATAAAATAAAATATTATTATTAATATTTGTGCATGGAGCTGAAGAGCCGCAACTGGACATCAAAAGAGCCGCATGCGGCTCGCGAGCCGCAGGTTGCCGACCCCTGCCCTTGAATCACCAATAAATGAAACATTTGCATTTTCAGGGCTAAAAATTAAAATTACAGTTAGACGTTTTAATGATCGAAAGTACACGTCAAAAAGAAGTATTTCATTTCTGAGGCAAAAAAAAAAAAAAATAATAATAATAATAACGAATTAAAATTAAGAAAAAGAAAAAATAATCTTGACACTAGATCTAAATGGATGGAACGAATTTTAATAACTCTTGTGTGTTAGAGTGTGTTGGTAAAAATGCATTGGTCAGTGTGTCTTGATATGTGTGTTGGTCAAACTGTGTTGATGTGTGTTGGCCAGTGTGAGTTATAATGACTTTGTCAGAGTGTGTTGGTAAGAATGCGTTGGTCAAAGTGTGTTGGTATGTGTGTGTGTTAGAGTATGTGTGTCAGAGTGTGTGGGTCAAAATGCGTTGATCAAAATGAGTTGATATGTGTGCTGGTCAGTGTGTGTTAGAGTGTGTTTGTCAGAGTGTGTTGGTAAGAATTCGTTGGTCAAAGTGTGTTGGTATGTGTGTTGGTCAGTGGGTGTGAGATTGTGTTGGTCAGGATGTGTAACTGAGGGCGTTAATATGTGTGTTGATCAGTAAGTGTTAGAAGGAATTTGACAGAGTGTGTAATTTAAAATGTGTTGGTAAAAGTGTGTTGATATGTATGTTGGTCAGTGTGTGTTATAACAAATTTGCCCGAGTGTGTTGGTCAGAGTGTATAAGTAAATGTGTTAATATGCGTGTTGATCAGTAAGAGAATGAATTTGTCATCAGAGTGTGTGGGTCAAAATGCGTTGATCAAAATGTGTTGATATGTGTGCTGGTCAGTGTGTGTTAGAGTGTGTTTGTCAGAGTGTGTTGACATGTGTGTTGATCAGTGTGTATCAGAGTGTGTTGGTCAGAGTGTGTAAGTGAGTGTTTTTGTATGTGTGTTGTTCAGCGTGTGTTAGAATGAATTTGACATAGTGTGTTGGTGAGAATGCGTTGGTCAAAGTGTGTTGACATGTGTGTTGGTCAGTGTGTGTCAGAGTTTGTTTGTCAGAATGTGTTGGTTAGAATGTGTTGGTCAAAGTGTGTTGATATGTGTGTTGGTCAGTGTGTGTCAGAGTTTGTTTGTCAGAGTGTGTTGGTTAGAATGTGTTGGTCAAAGTGTGTTGACATGTGTGTTGGTCAGTGTGTGTCAGAGTGTGTCAGAATGTGTTGGTTAGAATGTGTTGGTCAAAGTGTGTTGATATGTGTGTTGGTCAGTGTGTGTCAGAGTGTGTCAGAATGTGTTGGTTAGAATGTGTTGGTCAAAGTGTGTTGATATGGGTGTTGGTCAGAGTGTCTTTGTCAAAGTGTGTTGTTTAGAATGTGTTTGTCAAAGTGTGTTGGTTAGAATGTGTTTGTCAAAGTGTGTTGGTTAGAATGTGTAAATGAATGTGTTAATATGTGTGTTGGCCAGTGTGTGTTATAACGACTTTGTCAGAGTGTGTTGGTTAAAATGTGTTGGTCAAGGTGTGGTCAGAACATATTGGTCAAAGTGTGTTGACGTGTGTGTTGGTCAGTGTGTGTCAGAGTGTGTTGGTCAAGGTGTGGTCAGAACGTATTGGTCAAGGTGTGGTCAGAATGTATTGGTCAAGGTGTGGTCAGCACATATTGGTCAAAGTGTGTTGACGTGTGTTGACCAGATTGCGTTGTTCAACACGAGGCTTAAAACTAGGTTTAAAATTACTTCTACAAAACAAATCATTATCGCTCCGTCTAATTTACTTTTTCTTATATCACTCCCCAGATCCTGCTAGTGACCGCATGCCTTCTTCTGCCACTCGCAGACTGCATGCGCAGGCAGCGCAGCAGTCACTTAAACCTGGAAGAATACAGCCGGGAACGGCGCCGGAACCGGATCGACGACTGCGATGACGTCAGGACCCGGCAGACCAACCTGGAGAGGAACGTGCTGAGTAAACTGACGGCATTTCAAGACGCGGTCAGGCTGTTGAGCCAGCAGGCCATGATACAGCAGGAGTTTGTGGAGGAGAGGTGGGTCGTTTGTGTTCATAGGGGGGTCAGGCAAGATGAGTCTTTTGCTTTCATGGGGGTCGAGCGGAGGTGGATCTTTTGTGTTCATAGGGGGGTCAGGCATGGTGGGTCTTTTGTGTTCATAGGGGGGTCAGTTGGAGGTGGGTCTTTTGTGTTCATAGGGGGGTCAGGCATGGTGGGTCTTTTGTGTTCATAGGGGGGTCAGTTGGAGGTGGGTCTTTTGTGTTCATGGGGGGGTCAGGCATGGTGGGTCTTTTGTGTTCATAGGGGGGTCAGTCGGAGGGGTGTCATTTGCGTTCAAAGCGGTCAGGCAATGTGGGTCATTTTTATTCATAGGGGTCAGACAAGGAGGGTCATTTTTATTCATAGGAGTCGAGCGGAGGTAGATTTTTATTCATAGGGGTCATTCGGAGGAGGGTCTTTTGCGTTCATAGGGGTCAGGCAAGGTGGGTCATTTGCTTTCATAGGGGTTAGGCAAGGTGTGTCATTTGTATTCATAGGGGTCGGTTGGAGGTGGGTCTTTTGCTTTCATAGGAGTCAATCGGAGGTGCGTCATTTGTATTCATAGGGGTCAGTCGGAGGTGGGTCTTTTGGATTCATAGGGGTCGAGAGGATGTGGGTCTTTTGCACTCATAGGGGACAGTCGGAGGTGGGTCTATCCCTTCATATGTTGTTACAGAGTCAGTGAACTCTTCGTCTTTTGCAATTTTGACCGTGGGGTCAGAAACAGTTAGCTTTTCTTGTCTTCTGAAATTTTATCTCTTTATATGTATTTTAATCTATTTAGGTATTTGATTTTAAATTATGGTTTATTTCATAGCAATCTTCCTTATCTTAGACACAATATCACTTTTCTTGAGATAATTTATTTTATTGTACATGTTTTGGTGTTAGGTATTTGCACACATTTTTAAATACATTTAATTTTTTTGCTAAGATATTAACCCCGTCTCATCTGCACAGGATTCGATCCGTGGGCCAGTCTGGTATCTTGATAGTACGACGCGATACCGAAGGAACAAGGAACTACTACAGTTCTTCGCATATCGATACTGGGGTATCGGGAGTTCACGATCACAGCGACTACTACCAGCTGCTCGGCATGGGAGAGGTCAGTATGACATTTGTAGCTAGTGCTATATTAATGGTCGGAGGAACTTACATACATAGACTACATTTACGACTTGTTTTAAAACTTGCTATATAATTTGTTACATAACTCTTTATAGAACTAGATATGGTACTTAATATAGATCTAGAACATATAGAGTTTGATATAAAAATTGATATTGAATTGTTAAATAACTTGTTAAAGAAATTTATTTGATACAACACTTTGTACAGAATTCATGTGTAACTTAATATACAAAGTTAATATAAAAAAAGCCTGAAATGTGAATTGATGCACATTGTAAGTCAGATAAAAATTGTCATGATCACTTGAACCTAGTGCAGCTTTATGCTCATTGAAAATTGTATTCTAAATAAAGTCAATAAATTATTACATTCATTAATATAACATGAATCTCCAATAATGAATGTGATTATTCTCGATGAATTCTAAAAACAAATGATTAATAATATCATACTAAATAATGTCAGTAAATTCTAACATTCTTTAAATATAACATGAATCTTTACTATAATTATGAATGTTTCTATCCTGTATGAATTTTAAGACAATGATTAGTAACCTCAATTGTTAACTACCATTACATACCATAGTTTATCTTTACGTTTAACATAGTCAATGTTAAGTATAATTATATTTTTAAAAATGTTAAAATGAGGTATATTGAGTATTTAAATTAATTGTCCAGCCAAATTACTGTGGTTATGATTTAATGAGCTATCAAATTAATTGCCCGGCCAAATGAGGTATAATGAGTTTTTAAATTAATTGTCCAGCCAAATTACTGTGGTTATGATTTAATGAGCTATCAAATTAATTGCCCGGCCAAATGATGTATAATGTGTACTTAAATTAACTGTCCGGCCAAATTAGTGTGGTTATAGTTAATGAGTATTTAAATTAACTGTCCGGCCAAATTAGTGTGGTTATAGTTAATGAGTATTTAAATTAATTGTCCGGCCAATTAGTGTGGTTATAGTTAATGAGTTATCAAATTAATTGTCCGGCCAGGTGTGTGTGGTTATAAATGGCGTGGAGTTCAGAACGAGGCACAACGACTACAAGTTTAACCGTCCCTCCAGCAACAGCACGAAGTACCGAGCCGTTGAGAGCATTCCTTTTCCTGATGTACCAGTGGAGGTCACAAGCAAGGCAACCGTGGAGGTAAGATGTGGTTGTCGTGTGGTTGGCGTGTGGTGGTGGTATGGTTGTATGGTTATGTAGTTGTTGTGGTGGTTGTGTGGTTGTATGGTTATCTAGTTATGTTGGTGGTGTGGTTTTATGATTAACTAGTTGTTGTGTGGTGAAGTTGTGGTTGTATAGTTATCTAGTTGTTGTGGTGGTTGTGTGGTTGTATGGTTATCTAGTTGTTGTGGTGGTGATGTGGTTTTATAGTTATCTAGTTGTTGTGGTGGTTGTGTGGTTGTATGGTTATCTAGTTGTTGTGGTGGTGATGTGGTTTTATGGTTATCCAGTTATTGTGGTGGTTGTGTGGTTGTATGGTTATCTAGTTGTTGTGGTGGTGATGTGGTTTTATGGTTATCCAGTTGTTGTGGTGGTGGTGTGGTTGTATGGTTATTTAGTTGTTGTGTGGTGATGGTGTGGTTGTATGGTTATCTAGTTATGTTGGTGGTGTGGTTTCATGGTTATCTAGTGTGTGGCGATGGTGTGGTTGTATGGTTATTTAGTTGTTGTGTGGTGATGGTGTGGTTTCATGGTTATCTAGTGTGTGGCGATGGTGTGGTTGTATGGTTATCTAGTGTGTGGCGATGGTGTGGTTGTATGGTTATCCAGTTGTGTTGGTGGTGTTGTTGGGGTCTGTTGTGGGGTCGTTGTTGAAGTTGGGGTTTGGTTGTGGCTTGGTTTTCGTGATGTGTGGTTGTTGTGTTGTAAGCTTGATGAGTTGTGTGGTTGTACTGTGATGTTGTTGTGTAGTTATTGCATGTTTGTGGTTTGGTTGTGGTCTGGTTGTACTGTTGTGTGGAAGCTTAGTTGTGTTGTTTTATCGTGTCGTTTTTTTTTATGGATTTATTACACCACTGTGGTCTGGATGTCGTACTATGTGGTTGTGGTTGTTGTGTCATGTGGTTGTAATGTGTAGTTGTGTGGTTCTTCTGTGATTGTGGTCTGGTTGTCGTGTTGTGTGGTTAAAAAGAACAAATACAACGAATGTTTTTATAAAAGTCATAGAAAAAAATACTTAATCACGCTTTTAATATAATACGGTATACGTTTTAAAAACACTACACACGATTGAAAAACACCCAGTCCATTAGAAACTCCAGCACGTTCGAGGCCATTCTGAAATAGAATTCTGTGCCCTTTGTTTTACAGGAACAGATCGTGGAGATGAGGAAATGGTTCGAGGCTTTTCAGCAACAGAACTCAAGTGTCCGAGACTACAGGCCCTACTTCAAGGCAAACATCTGCTACATGGAGGCGGCGTGGACCAATGGTGAGGCAGGGTCCATGTCACGTGATAATATATGTTCTTGTGGGTAACCAGTGTCGATCTGAGCTCGAGTTAAATTTATAATCCCAGTCATAATCACCCGCCATAATCCCAAGCCAAAATCATAGTTATTTATCCAATCCCAATCAGTGTTTCTTCCAGACTTTTTTCTCCGGGGGGCACTTGCAATTTTCGGGGGGGGGGGGGGAGGGGGGGCGGTTGACTTTCTTCGGGGGGGGGGGGCGGACACTGTTAAAAGTATATATTTTCTATATAAATTATATAAATTTCATTTCAATTCAAACGGCAGAAATAATTGTAGCTAAAATTGATGCATCATCCCACTACTCTTCCCTGTGCTTATAAAAAAAATATTATTTGAGACCTTTTGATGACGATATGGACTATTTGAAAGAAATTAGCTCGTTAGCTGGGGACAGCCACTTTTCTAGGAGAGACACTCCAAAATCACACAACTGCTGCCTAGCAGTTTTTTCTTGGTTGGACAAAGACTACGGAAGCAAATCCAAAAAGAAAAGCAGGCTGAAATCGAAGTCAAGGACCTCAATGGTGTATAACCCGTCGACACGTATACCTAATTGTGTTGGAATGAATCCCTTCTAACACTAAAATTAAGAACGAAGAAGAAGAAAAAAGACGAACCCGAAATCATAGTTAACTATCCAATTCTAATTCGAATCATAATATCAGAAATAATTGGAACCAAAATTGATACATAATCACACTCCTCTCCCCTGTCCTTTGTAAAAAAAGTAATTTGGGAGATTTTGACAACAATAGCGAATATTATAGTGTCTATTCTTCCTTTTCTTTTTATATCATATTGAAAGCAAAATAAAAGTGAACATCTTTTAAAAATAATAATAATAATAATAGATAATAGTAGCACATAATGTCCGTGCCGATCACTGAGGTCCCTAAAAGACTTTGCTCTCCCCTCATATACCTCTCCCAGTTGGAACTCACAACTTACGCGGTTCGACAGCTGCGTAAGTCCTTGGTTCCTTGTAAACGCTAATTCCGGTTCTTTCCTCATTCTTAGAAAAACTTACAAATTAAGCTACATCGATACTATTTGATAGCGACTATTATAGCGTTTATTATTCAATATTAGCTTTTGCTTATCTTTATTAAGTTGAACCCTCTCAACCTTTCCCAAGGGAAGTAATTCAGATAATAAAATAATTTTTTATTTATTTATGTTTTTTTTTTAAAATTTAGATTCCGGTTCGGTTCTGACTGAGCCGTTCCAGAGTGACCGTCATTACCTGAACGGCAGGAGCTGGGATGACTTGATGGCGAAGGTAAAAAAAAAAGTTAAATTGCAAGCAGAGCTTTCCTACAGCGGTTTAGTATAAATACCGTCTTTAATATAAAAATACTTGAATATTCTACATGTTTGAACCTCTGTGACATTCAAATATCTGTACTCACCCACAGCTTCGGTACACGACCTACACCGGCATCAAGGACAACTTTGAGAACCTCGGGTTCCTCCCCCGCAAGATCATGTCCGTAGACCCCGTCACCGGACTTCCGGTCTACGCCCAGTGGAACTACCGCATCCTGTGTTTCCCCATACCATTCGATCTCCCAACTAAGAACTTGAAACAAGTAAACACATTTTTCTTCAAAGTAAAATTTCCCTTCCTGACGGTTTATGGGCCAGTGAAGTAGAGTTCACCTGTTTCTGTGATTTCGGTATATAAAGGGATGGTGTAGTCAGCACTATGCCCAGCTGCGATTACTTTTCCTAACGTGAGTTCGGTATTCATCAGACGGTTTATTGACTTGAACCCGGATTTAAACTCGAGACTTACGGGTTAGCAGTCAAACGCTCTACTGCTAGGCCACACCGTCCCTTAAGTATTGTAATAAAAGAATGGCTCTATAGTCTAATAGACCATTGGATGATTGCGCATTGGAACGCTAAGCACATATCCTAGGCGGTAAGTTGAGAAGATCCAGATTTTGCCCTTGAGTGTTTTAGATCAGTATTTAATATTAGAAACTCGTATTAAGATTGGTTGAATTGGCACAAGCGAGAAATGTTGTAATGCTATTTGGTTTGTGTTGATCGATTACTGTTCGATCAGGGGCTGCTGTTTAGTCATCTGCACGTACAGAGGACCAATAAATCATAGGCGATCCAAGTTAAATAGATTATATTGAAAGATAAAATTAACTTGTTGGAATTTCTTGAGAGAAAATTTAAAAAATTGTCTTAAAACATTTTTATCTTGAATTAATAAAAATATTCTTCTTTGATGCTTCTATGCCTTATTGAACCTATAAATCCTAAAACTCCAATACACATACACACATACATAAACACTCAGCACAATGTATTGAGTTTAGAGCTTTGTTGATGTCGCTGACAGAGAGATGACTTCCATTGGCGCTACCCACGGAACGTGAGTGAACAAGATGTAAAGAGCAAACGTGCGGCCAGATTCCATCTCAACGACGAGGATAACGACGATCAGTACGTTGTTCTAGACTCCATTAAGTCTTTTAGATGACACAGGCGATACTAAAGTTAATTTTAGCACCTGACGGTACATGGGGCAAGTGAAGTAGAGTTAATCAGTTTCTGTGACCTCGGCATATGAAGAGATAGTGTGCCCAACTGTTTTTACTTTCCTTTATGGGAGTGTACTACCCATCAGAACTGGGTGGACTCAAGGAAGTTGAACTGACTGTAACCCGGATTTGAACTCGATGCGCTCGGTTTAGCTGTCGTATTCTCTAGCATTGCACCAGACTCTCCCATACAGGCAAAGTATTCATTGGTTAAACATGCAGAGTATAACACCCCCACACCCCATCAATTTCCTTAACCAAACCACAGTACCAAACACACATATTTTTACATCATTTAACTGAATGAGGGTGGAGAAACGTACAGATTCTCGTCCAATGATTCTCTGTTTAAGACTGATTTAAAGACTAAATTCATATCCTATGAGTTATTCTTTACGTATTTTGTCCTTTAAATTGTTTATAATTTTCATTACTTCTTAAAAGTGAATACCACTGATAAATGCTCTACGCATTTCGTTACTAAATGTCGTACACTTACACCATATTATATCCTGTTTAATTGTGGTACAATTAATACTATCCTTGTTTATTGTCTCGTTTTCTCCCTCTATACACGTATACCCTGCTTTATTGTCCTGCCTTTACTTATGTCTTGTAAGACCACCAACGAAGCTACTGATAGCCACGTCACCCCCCCCCCCCCCCCCACTCGTTACAGGTTCACCGACTACACGCTCTTGGACAAGGTGATGGAGCTGGTCCCAGGCATGGACAACATCCCGTCCCCGGGACTGCAAGAACTTTACGGCGGTCCCTTGTTCTCTGCTTATGACGGTGCTACCCCCAAGCCTTTGGCCCAGGGGTTCTATAACAGGTGGTACAAGTTTGCTGTTGATGGGGCTATGGGCTCTGATGTGAGTACTGTGTTTCTTCTCATATATATATATATATATATATATATATATATATATATATATATATATATATATATATATATATATATATATATAATATACGTATATATACATATATAAACATACAACTATAAGTATATATATCTATATGTGTATATACATATATAAACATACAAATATATATATATACATGTATGTATATATCTATATATATATATATATATATATATATATATATATATATATATATATATATATATATATATATATATATATATATATATATATATATATATATATATATATATATATATATATATATATATATATATATATATATATATATGTATATATAAATATATATATTCGTGTGTATGTTTACAAATAGATCACATGTTATTAATCATATCAGACGTACAAAATACTTCCACCAAAAAATTATTCTTAAAAGAATTAAATTCCCACCAAAAACTGTTGTGGCCTACAAGTTAAAAAAATACACATTCAATTAAATTTAACCTCTTCAAACTCCCCTTTTAACTTTTACTTTGTTTTAAAATGTACATAGTGGCAACAATGGCCATAGTGATCTAATTGAAGGTTTTTATCTCTTGCAGTTGGCCCACCGCGGTTTTAATGACGAGTCGTTGTTCGTGGCACTCAACACACAGAAGCAGATCGTGCCCATGAGCATTACGGACTGCAAGAACAACGTCTGCTCCACGTCGTCTGCACGTGTCAGCTACGCCATCCCGCTGGAAGTGGTGTACATGACGCCCCTCTCAAACTGGAACCCTTACAACATCTGTTTCAATAACGTAAGTTTTTTAACCTTTACAAGATCTGTTTTAATAACGTGAGTTCTAGAACCATTATAACATCTCTTTCAATAACGTATGTTCTAACCATTATAACATCTGTTTCAATAACGTATGTTCTAACCATTATAACATCTGTTTCAATAGCGTGAGTTCTTGAACCTTTATTAAATTTGTTCAATAACGAATGTTCTTGAAGCTTCATTACATATGTTTGTTTCCATAACGTACGTTCTAGAACCTTCAATACATCTGTTTAAATAACGTATGTTCTAGAACCATTATAACTTTTTTTCAATAGTTTATTTCCTAGGACAAAAATAACTATTTATAACATATGTTTCAATAACGTATGTTCTAGAAACTTTATTACATCTGTTTTAATAACGTATGTTCTAGAACCTTTATAATGTATGTTAAAATATTATGTGTTTTAGAATCATTACAACATTTATCTTAACAAAATAATTTCCACAAATATGTATATGTATCAAAAACGTTAGACAATTAATCAAATATTATTTTCTAAAGGTGCTAGTGATTGTCATAATGACGTAAGGTTATGAGGTAAATTAATGTTCGAATGACATACGTAAAGCACTACGACAATTGTAACTTTATACTATTAAAAATGAAATAGTAAATCAATTTTCACGTGTGTTTTTTTATAAACAATTTGTACAAAATTTATTCTTTCCCATGAAGTCGATACACCTCTCTCGTCTAATACATTTGCTTTGAAACCCAATCAGTAGCTTACAAACACATTCAATGCGATGTTTAACTTACCCTGGTTAATGTGCCTGATTGGGTTTCAGGTGTGAAAATATCCGTGATTAACAGCTGATTTCAGTCACCTTACTAATCGAACGATATTTCGTGCTCAAAAATGTTAACTCCACATTTCTTATTAAATATAATACTTTTTAAATATTCTCATAAGACTCATGTAATATCTAATTAGAATGAAAAATTAAATATTATTGTATTGTCATTGGAATCCATCATCACACAGACATGCAACCTGAATAAAGTATTATAAATATATCACTGTAAGTGTACACCAAATCTCTTGCAAGCCTTAACACCACCCCCCCCCCTCACCCCCCCCCCCCAAAAAAAAAAAACCACAACAAAAACCTAACGTTTATGTTTTGAATGTTGCAGACGATATTCACCCCAATACCTGGAGTGGAGGATGGTCTAACAAACGAAACGGCCCTGAGGTGTGCGTACCGCAACTTTTACTACCGGACCCCAGCCTCGTTCTTCACCAGTGGACCCCACGAGCCGGATGACGCAGACACGCCCAGGGTCTCGTTAAAAGTTAGGGCAGGGGACGTAAGTAACAAGGCATTCATGTTTTACTTGGTTTGTGGTTTGGTATGAACTGAACGCGTAGACTATATGGCTTATGGGGCAGTCACAACATGGGAGGTGACTCTTTATTTTTTCACGACTCTGTGAAATTACTGAAATCATGCGGTTAATATTATTAAAGATCTTATAGAAACAACACAACACCAGACATACAAACATACACATACACATGCACACACACACATATATATATACATATATATATATATATATATATATATATATATATATATTATATATATATATATATATATATATATATAAATATATACACACATATATATATATATATATATATATATATATATATATATATATATATATATATATATATATATATATATAATACGTACATATACATTTATAAATAAGTATTTATACCCATATATATATATATATATATTATATATATATATATATAATATATATATATATATATATTATATATGGTATATATATATATATATATATATATATATATATATATATATACATATATATATATATATACATATATATATATATATATATATATATATATATATATATTATATATATATATATATATATATATATATATATATATATATATACATATATATATAAAACATATATCTATATATATCCACGTGTCTATCCCCAGGGTACAGTTGTTGACGTAAGTGTAAGTGGCACCCAGTTTTTCCTGCCGGATATCGGCGAGGCGAAGGAGGTCCGCTTGAGGTACCCGATCCCTCCCATCCACGGCGAGGGCAGCACCGTGTACAAGGAGGTCAACGCTCTCAGGGACAGGGTCAAGGTCAATATTCCCTTGTGATGAGGTTCCGGGTCCTAGACGTACATACTTTAAGTTTGTGACGTCACACAGAACCTAAATATAGAACAGTTCCATGTCAATGGCTTCCTCAGCAATCCACCATCCCAGTTTCTCGTTTTTTTTCTCTCCTGGGAAAACTCTACATCTATTAATATCAGTATGGAATAGAAATAGTAACTCCACGTTCTTGACTCTGACCAATATTATTAACTGTCTCGGGTGAAATTCCAATGAGTACTGGCTTTTTAATAACAATAATAAACAGACAACAGACAATAATAAACAGACAACTCTGCTCATGATTAACAGTCACCTCCCCTTTTAAAAACCCTTGCGGTGCACTTTATAAAATGAACCCCATTTCGTCCACTTTTTTTTGTATTATTTCAATAGATCTTTATAAATTAGAATTATAAGTAGCTATTTTTAAAATAAATAATTAATTTTAGTATTAAAATTAAATTGTTTTTTAAACAATTGTATTGTACAAACTATGTTGGCATTTGATGTACATATTGTATGTTCACGTGAATAAATAAACTAAGAGGGTCTTAAGACAATGAAAGATAATTGTTCATGAGTTATTTCCCATTTTTTAAAATTAATGAACAACGTTAGGCCATGTTCATGAATAACAAATGAATGTGGAAGCTGCATCGAAACGCACATTTGTAATTACGTGAGTCTTGTGTGTATCTTAGCCTCTACTGAACCCTTGTGACAGATTCACAAAACCCCTGGGGTTCGAATGGTTCGATCAAACTAAACCTCTGCAATAAGTCGTACGATTTTCTTTAAGTTATCTATCTTCATGTTTCATAAGTCTATTCTTACAAGAAATAACTATCTATCAAAATATGTTGAAGTTCATGCAGTTTCATCATCATCATCATCATCATCTTTTCCAGACACAATATTAAAATGGGGTAGATGAAGTAGAGTTCTTCTGAATCAGAGAACTGGGCATATGAAGACAGCACTATTCCAGTCGACTTTACTTTCAATAACGTGAGTTAGTTACCCTTCAAAGCTGGGTGGACTCAGGGAACCTCTACCGACATGATCTCGGATTCGCACTCGAGACTTACCGGTTAGCAGTTTGGCTCTCTACCGCTAGGCCACGCCATCCCATACAGGCGATTGAATCATTTGGTTAAAAGTGTCCAATTGAGTACCGTCTACTCCCTAATATTAAGGTACTATTCTTCCAACAATAGCATCGTCTATAAAAACGGATTAAAGTGCTATTCGTACAGTTCAGAACTCAATATTCACACGTCTTGACGCACAGTAGAAATTCCTATTGGTATGTTTTAAGATGCTATTTATACAGTTTAGAATTCCTTATTCAAACGTCTTAACGTGGTACTTGAACGATTTAGAAGTCTATTTAGACGTCTTAACGTGCTATTCTTACAATTTAAAACTGTCTATTCACACGTTTTTACTATTAATACAACTATAAATTGCCTGTTCTGATTTCTCTCAAATATCAACTACCATACATCAACAGTCTTCTCTTTCACCCCTCAACTGCCTATTCTCACGTCTGCCTGTTGTCTATTCACACGCCTAAAAAAGTAGAAATACAGACGGCATCTGTCGCTGGATAAACAAAGGGCAGCTACTCGAGCTAAATAAGTCAACAACAACGGTTGGACTAGGTGCAGGGATAATCAATCATGAGAACCTACAATCATACATACATCTCGATAGGTTTGCTTTCATCTTATTAATGTATTACTCACAATTGGACAAGCAAGGTCACCAATCGCTGAAAGGATTATCGCTGTTGCGCAATTACGCCAATAGTAAAAATATGTAGAATAATAAAATTCAAAGGAATCAAATGTGGTAGTTTTAAAGTATGAAGTATATCGGAATAATGAATACAAGTTGTAAATTATGAAGTGTAAAAAAAATTAATGTATTAATATAAAGTGTATGATTTGGAAATGGCGAAGTAGAAATGAAAAATTATAAGTTTTGAGAAATAACAGAATTATAGAAAGAATATGAAGTTAGAAGCAAATAATATTGGAATAACAAAGTTTTTTTTAACACACTATTCACTGTTATCATTGTTTTAATTTTAACCTTAATATTGAGCATAGCCAAAGGTATCGACAAATAAAATCACACTTTGCTATTTACTCTCTATATGGATATTATTGTTGCTGATACATGTCTGATGTGAACGTCGGTGTTGGCAATACTTAGTGAACATCGGTTTTTTATACAATCTATTAAACATCATTTCTCCTAATACGATGTCTACAAACATCAATTTTGTTAACATAATCTATACAAACATCAGTTTAGTTAAAATAATATATACGAACATCAGTTTTTGTGAACATCGGTTTTTATACAATCTATAGAACAACATATTTCCTAATACGATGTCTACGAAAATCAGTTTTGTTAACATAATCTATACGAAAATCAGTTTTGTTAACATAATCTATACGAACATCAGTTTTGCTAATTTAATCTATACGAACATCAGTTTTGTTAATATCATCTATACGAAGATCAGTTTTGTTAAGATAATCTATTCGAACATCAGTTTTGTTAACATAATCTATACAGACATCATTTTTGTTAATATAATCTATACGAACATCAGTTTTGTTAATATCATCTATACGAAGATCAGTTTTGTTAATATCATCTATACGAAGATCAGTTTTGTTAAGATAATCTATTCGAACATCAGTTTTGTTAACATAATCTATACAGACATCATTTTTGTTAATATAATCTATAAGAGCATCAGTTTTGTTGAGATAACCTATACGAACATCAGTTTTGTTAATATAATATATTCGAGCATCAGTTTTGTTAACATAATCTATACGAACATCATTTTTGTTAACATAACCTATACGAACATCAGTTTAGTTGATACAAACTATAAGAACATCATTGTTTAAGAAAAAATTGATCGATATGAACAGAAACCAAATTTATGCTATTGATCTACACTGCATGCAGCTTACACAGCAAACACAGGATACATGTCCGATGTTTGCACTGGACGACAAAAACTCAAAGATCCCCACCAGCAGACGTCATGTTCACAGAAAACCTACACCAACATTACGTCACTGTATCGTTCGTTGTCGGATGACGTCATATTAAGGCGAAAAATCATTCCTGTTATTATTGTTTCGTTTAATGGAAATAAAGTTTCGAATACCTGCTAAATGTTTCACGTGAACAACATTAGTGTAAGAGAGGTCCAAATATTAAACACAAATTTCACAAAGCCTTTTTAAAAAGGCAGAAACGATTGACCCTATAGAAAACTGAAAGAAAATTTATTTTAAACGTTTTTGTGGAAATTGTTCAGAGTAATAGAGTCACATTTACATTGAGTTCACCGATTTCTGTGACCTCGGCATATGAAGGGATAGTGTGGTTAGCAAAATACCAAGCCGCTTTTACTTTCCCTAATGGGAGTTGTGTACCCATCATAGCTGGGTTGACTCCAGGGCCGGCGCTACCTATAAGGCGAAATAGGCGGTCGCCTAGGGCGCTATCCGTACGGGGGCGCCAAAATGGGTTGGAAAAACAAATTGAAAGTTTGAGAGGGGGGTGCAAATCAAAAGTTTGAGGGGGGGGGGTGCAAATCGGGCGCCGGGAAGGGTCGCTATGCCTCTGATAATTTGGGAACACGAAAAAAAAATTGCGGGAGGGGGGCGCTTTTGATAAGTTTTGCCTAGGGCGCTAAATAACCTGGCATCTGCACTGGTTGACTCAGGGACGTTCTGTTGACTTGAACCTGGATTTGAACTCTAGGCTTTCAGATTAGCTGTCTAGCGGTCTACTGCTAGGCCACGCCGTCCAACATTTATATAGATATAAATTTAAATTTTTGAAAAAAAAAGTGATATTGAAAATTCCATGAGTAATTATATTCATGTGTCATGGTACCTATAAAGCCTATATAAAGATTAGCATGGGTAATCCTAAAAATGTGTTGACATAGTTTAAACAAGCCTAACTCGAGGTGTTGGGATTAGTCTGACGTGTTGGGATTATACAAATCCACTCGAATCACAGATATTTTTAACAATTGCTCTACAATCTTTTTATTTACAATTTGTTTGATGAAGGCCATCGACCGAAGCGTCAGTTGTGTTTACTTTCAAAAGGCTTTAGAATTCTTCTTGGGTACAGAATCGATTTCGCCATGGTTTGATTGCTTAAACCTAACGCCACATACCGTTATATTCAACATTCATGCTATTTGAGCCAAGTACACTGAACGACTATCTGATGAAAAAAGTTATTAGAGTGCCCGCAGGAGTTGTTTCCCTGTACGTAATAAGGAAACAACTCATTTCAAACGTCATTAGTTTTTGCTAATTGGGGTGGAAGTTGACCTATATAACGACATGATCTAAACTACGTTAAGTTAATAACCATGTATATATATATATATATATATATATATATATATATATATATATATATATATATATATATATATATATATATATATATATATATATATATATATATATATATATATATATATATTCCGACCTCTTCTGCTTCACTGACAACTATTATGTCGTGTCCTCAACTTGGAAGAATCGCCTAAAGCAAACACGATAGAGTGGTGAGATAGCTCCATATGCCTCACAAATGGTCCAAATGAATAATGATGACGATATATATATATATATATATATATATATATATATATATATATATATATATATATATATATATATATATATATAGCCTACATATAACATATATATAGCCCATATATATATATATATATATATATATATATATATATATATATATATATATATATGCGTGTGTGTGTTAGGGTATGTGTTTTTATGTGTGTGTTTGTTGAAAGGAGTATGTTGGATGTGATACTGTTTCTTTGCTACAATGTTTTGTTTTGTTTTTGTAAAATAAACAATAAAACATTTCATTTGAGTAAATTATTTAAAATATTTCAACTAACACATATATTAAAAAGCTAAGTACGTTCCTGTACTGTTGTCTTTATCCGACTACGGATTAGACACGCGCCAACCAATCGATGGAGTAGCGTGTGGATCTAGTCGTGAGCAGTATAAAAATGAACATTTGAGGCAGAGTTGAGTAGAAAGCATGATAGGAACAATCATGATTGTAAGTACAAACTTAACTTGTCTGCGCTTGTCTGTTCTGTCCTTACCTTGTTCTTATTTTATTCTTTACTGAAATAGGGATAATTATGATTATGAAATGACAAACACCGTTGTTAATTATAAGTATTTTGGATTATTGAATGATAAGATAATGTTGCATATAAAAAAATAAATTTTGCATTTTGAAAACCAAACAAACAACAACGTTTGGCAAGCGTTATTTCGACCATATGTCTTTGCTCAAAATTTAAAAAAAAATTAAAATAAAAAACATTATAATATGCTTACAAAAAATATTTTTACACTTTCTATTTTGCTTAGTCTACTAAAGTTATTTGATAACTTTACCACACCGTCATGCTTAAGAGATCACCCAACTATAAAGAAAGTGTACATGTTCTTGGTTACACGAGCATAATTCTCCTACGTATCATTATAGAAACCTAAAACTGATAAGGATATTGTAGCACTAGAAGGCTCCTTTAAAATAGAAAATAGACACAGAATACTATTTGATGTAGAACACTATATTTTAATTACGAAAACATACATAAAAGAAATATTAATTGTTTTTAATTATGCATTGTTCTAAAATGCTAAGTAGAAGGTTTGGATTCGTTTCTATAAATATCCCATAGGAAAACACCGAAGGACAAAAAATAACCCACCTCTGGACATAAACCCTAGAATTTTACCGCCATCGCCCACCCCTAAACATAAACCCCCAATCCAGAACATAAAACTTCCTCCTATAATACACAACATCACCCCAGATCAACAACACCCCCCACTCCCCCCCCCCCCCCCTAAGCAAAAAAAAAAAAAACAACTCCTCAGTATTTCTACCCCCTGATACAATTAACCTGGATATCACATCCCGAGCTTTATACATAATAATATTTTATTTTATGTTTGTTTAACGCTCGTGGTTGACGCAAATGTTAATTGTTATCGTTTTTGTTGTGAGCGAGAAAAAATCATCGCCACGGATTGCTGTGTTAGAGTGTGTAGACCAGACTCAAACGGTGTCAAATACAATCGCTAAATAACCAACTAGGCTTCATCTTTGTTACTAGCATTAATGATCATGCCAATACTAGACCATTATTACATGGATAATGACTGTTCGAACACTTTGCGGTATTTCTGCAGTAACTATAACAATAACTAAACAATTACATTATGATAGCTTTACCCTAACCGTATGATAACCACGATAACAAAATAAATACAGGTCTAATTTAAAACAAAGATAATTGTTTGAAATTTTGAATAATTTCTTTTATAGTCGCAGATTGTTTTGTTGCTGTCTCTTGTGGCACTGGGCGGGGCGGTCATTGACCCGGAAACCCTGGCCAAGTTGAACGCCCTCCAAGACCAGCTGACAACACTGGCCAAGCACACGATGATACAACAGGAGTTTGTTGAGGAAAGGTTGGTGCCGGAACTTAATTAGTTGATTACCATTTCTCATTTTATTCCGTTTTGTGGTGGTATATGGTATAGATCTATATTAATTACTACTACAAGAGAGATAACTGCTACTGTTGTTTTTGTCTACCTCGGGTATATAAAAAGCTTCTGTATTCAAATACTCAAATTCCCAATTTGAGTACGAATTGAAGCTGAGTACACACAACGACGCGATATGAACTCGAGTAAGGGAAACAAACTCGGCCAATTCGGCATAGCTGTCGTGTACTCTACCATACGACCACGCC